CGTTTGTAATAAATATAGTTAAGGACACAATGAAAATTGAAATATACATTGCAAATATGAATCTGAAGCCAACACTTTCGTTAAGAAATGGCAACCTTTAATAAGTATGGATGTCCCACCTTCCATTAACTGAACTAATGATACACTCAAATTACTCTCTTCACTAAGATCATTATTATTAGTAATACTATGTGATAGTTACCATAACGGGAGGATTTCTGTACCATGTAATGGGTAATAGTATTATTGCATGATGTTTTGATAAACATTGGTACACCAACTGCCTCTGATTGTCTTATGAGATTTTTGCTACAATCTGACCTTCTTCTCTTGCACTTGAAAACTACTGTACATTCATCAGTTAACCATTGATAATTAACCTTTAAAACTACTGATTATCTATTACCACTTTTTGTTATGTGTGATATTTTTTGCAATGTGACTAAATCCTTCTCTTTGTATCTATACAGTAACATGAATGTACCTCGTAATGGCACAATGGTTTCAATTCTCCTAGAAATGAATATGTCACTACCTGACACCTGAATTTGTATTGCTCGTGAATGCTCTCTTCCTCTGTATTGGAAAAGCATTATAACAGGAATATGCACAATTGTAATAATAATGGAACTATCTTGCTATCAACCTATGTCAGTTTGCTTTTTGTTAAAGCACACATTACACCCTGTCCATCAGTACAGCTACCTTGTATGAAGTGCATAGCTGCCTTGTATGAACTGTATGAACTTATATGCCATTGTATGAACACGTTCTTTATTAAAGCAAACATTACACTCTGTCCATTAGTATAACTACCCGGTATGAACCGTATGAACTTGTATGCTACTGTGCAAACAGGTAACCATATACAGTGTTTGCTTTGTATACTTCTGTATGAGCATGTTCTTTTTTTCTTCTTTTCTTAATTTTTTTTATTCATTCAAAATCAGTAGATACATGTATACAAAGTACATGATGCAACAACACTTGTACACCGTAGAACAGAAATTCATATGGGTTGGCATTACACATATTGGGATCTTCATTCGGCTGGGAATGTGTGCAGTAGAGATGACCATTTTCTGTCAAATTGTAATATGTTTTGATTCTTACTGGCAATAAAGGTTTCTGTCTTGAAAATATCACTCAATATTTTTACAAATGTATCCAGTGATAACTCTTTTTTTTTAATACTTGATATATGGATATATTTGTTACTGGCAAGAAGTATGTGATTCATAAGGTCGTTATTATATCCGCCAATTAAGACTGTATATTCTGTCACGGTAAAATTTTTTGATGATTTATTTTCAATATATTCTTTCAGTTTCAGCCAGAACGTTTTCACACACTCACATTCCCAATAAACATGTATCAAATTTTCTGACATTTAATTACAAAATGAGCAAAGTTCATCATCTACTAATTTCATTCTTAATAAATCTTTCTTTGTGTAGACAATATTGTGGATAAATTTAAACTGGAAATCAATCAATTTAGTATCTTTTGTACATCTTCTATATTTTCTAAGTATCAGCATGTTCTTTATTAAAATTAACACTACACCTGTCCATCAGTATAATTACCTTTTATTAACTGTATGAACTTGTCAGCTACTGTACGAACACGTAATCATATACAATATATTGTTTTATAAACTGCTGTACGAACCCAGGTGTACTGAAATAAAAAATGTGAAAAGAAATATATGTGGATGATTTCCCAAGTAATGATCAGCTTACATGATTTGAAAAAAACACAACATACAATTTGTTTTCTTTACCAGCCACAAGACGTGCCCAAAACTTCGTGTATACTATTTTATAGATATGTACAGTGGTTTTCGTCCCAACTCACCACATATTATGTATGATGGTGTGGATTTCTTTAAAGGTAAAAGTTTTCTAGGAAAGAGTAAATGTACATTTTCTATGATATTAAGGTTTTCATGACCCAATATTTCACAACCATACCATAGAACTGGGACTACCATAACATCGAAAAGATATAATTGACATTTTAAAGTTATTTTGAAGTTATTTTCTCGACCCTTTCTTAATGCGAAGTGTATGGCCTTGGTGACTTGTTCAACAAGAAATTTGCGTGCTGTTGTAATTTGTTTTATGAAATATTACTCCCAAATATTTAGCTAATCTACAAATTCTAAACTTTACCAACTCAGAATAGATAATTGTTGATTGTCTCGCTTAGCTCCACCAATAACCATCACTTTGGTTTTATCAATGTGAACTTTAAGTTTCCATGTGGTACAATAATTACAAAAGCTATCTAACATAAGCTGCACATCTTTATGCGTTTTGCTAAGATTGTATCATCAGCGCATAACATCAAAAATAGAACAATGTATATAAGTCACGTGACGATGGGTCTAATGTAATACCAGTATTACTATTTTCTACTAGGTGGTCTTCAAGGTCATTCATGTATAAACTAAAAAGAATTGGTGACAAATTTTTCCCTTGTCTGACACCTGAATTACAAGAAAAGAAGTCTGACAGTTGACCACTAACTTTCACACATGACTTATTAATGCCTTTATACATATTAAAAATTAAACGACATTTTCCACCTACACCATGTGTTGTTATCTTTTGCCATAACCCAATGCTCCATATACAATCAAAGGCTTTTTCAAAAAAATTAAAAACAGCTGCTTTTGTATGGTATTCTAAGGGAGGCTGACTACTTTTGAACGACCCTCGTAGATATACCCCTTTAGAACACCCACCCACCCCTCCGACTCTACATGCATGTAAGTGTGTTAGATATACCAGTTAGATACCCCCTCCCCCCATTCTTTATATGTATACATATCAAAACCTCAACAGATATTTGCGAAAAGACATGATACAGAGGACAGTTAGAGATTTTATATCGATTATATTATCTCAAGGTCACTCAATTTCACTGGTGTGGGTGAATCTCGCCAATATACCTTGGTACCAAGTTTGAACAAAATCCGTCATTTCTTTCTTGAGTTATCGCCCTAACAAGCTTATATGATGTATGAAATGCAACGAAAAACAAACACACGCGTATTTACCAGTGATTAAAACTGTTATTACAATTTACGTAAACATTTATTACATTTTACCGCAACTAAAATTATTACAATTTAGGTCAATTTTTATTACAATTTACTTTTGTATTACAATTTACGTCAAGTTTATTACAATTTGCTGCAAGTATTACAATTTGCGTTTTTATAACAATTTACGTCGTAACGGGTTTGTTTTTTAATTTCCGACTGCCATTTATCAAATAATTTCGGTTTTGGACAGATCTGGATTTCATATCAACAGTACTTTCATGTAAATATTCCTTCGGGCAACTTTACATTCTTTCCCAAACCAGGGTCGGGATGCACGCTTTTCACGCACTTTCCGGGTTTTCGTAGTGGCGAGGCCAAATGTGTCGACTGCTGTCTGGATAAACATAGTGTTTATATAGTAAGATTACATAATCAGCCACCATAGCATTGTCTACATCTGATGTCATCGGGTCAAAACCAAGTGCATGGAAATTGTCAATGCAATTTAACATACTTGCTGTACATAGCGCGTAGTCTACAGTACTTCCATGTTTACATGTAAGCTTACCTTGACCTTTGTCTAGACTCATTCTTCCGTTCAATATATACAATCCATTGTTCTTCCATATATTAATGAGTTTGTACCCGTGGTTGTTAATACAGTACAACCAGAAATTATTGAAATTTAAAGATTGTAAAAATTATATTTTTTCACTCATTACTCACGTATTAAATGTGAATATTAGCAGAACATTACTCCAGATTCATAGACAGGTGAACAGTTAGTATTTTGTCAAGTCACCATGGGCAGCAATGCAGCCTTCAATGCGGCGGGGCATACTGCTGATCAAAGAAGTTTGAAAGTCGTGGTCCAAGGCGTCCCAATATCGGACCACCTCTTCTTTCATTTCAGCAATATTTGTCAGATTTTTCCTATTGACACTTTCCTTCATAAGCCCCAACACATTTTCTATTGGATTTAGGTCAGGGCTATAACTTGGTCAATCATATTATGTCATATTTTGGGTCCGAAACCAGGCCTGTGAATGCTTTGAACGATGTTTTGAATCGTTGTCCTGCTGGAAAATCCAAAACTTTCCACAGAACACGTGAGCAGATGGAAGTAAATGTCCCTCGAGAATATATGTGTTCCGCTCACTGTTCATATTCCCTTCAAATACACAGAGGGGCGTTGCCCCTAACACAGATATGCCACCCAACATGTTACATTTCGGACTGTACTTTGGGCCCTGATACAAAGGTTTTTCAGTTTTTTTGGTCCAGAATTTCAGTGTATTAGGAAACAGCCACACAGAACTTTCATCTGAGAAAATTACATTGTCCCAGTTAAAATTTCTATGCTGTAAGCACCAGTTCAACCTTCGCTCCTTTTGTTCAGGTTTCATGATCGGTAATGTAATTCCTCGACTTTTCTGCCAACCCATTGAATGCAGCTCAGTTCCTCTGTCAATCATATCCAGCGTTTGTTTTTAGAAACAAGAATACCAAGCCGCCTCCTGCCATCGACGGTCAATTTTCTGGGCCTACCTGCGCCTCCCTGGTGCTCAATGCCATATCCATTTGCAATATTTTTCAAAACACGATAAACGGTGGACAAAGGGATGCCTGTTTCTACTTGAAAGCACTTTAGCTGATCTGATGTCCTTGTTATAATACTCTAAAATCAACTTCCTCTTCTCTAAATCATCCATACTGAGGATCACTGAAAATGACGTCCGTAAGTCTAGCAAGTAAACATAGGGGGGCAACTCTTCACAAACTAATGAAAAAGGATTAACGGAGTTGTCTCTCTTGAATGAAACCAAGCACTTGATAGCTGGTCAAGGTTGTTTATACTAGAAATCCAATTAAACATATGCCTAAAATTCTCAATAATTTCTGGTCATACTATATTATATAATAACATATTCGTTTTGTTTTACTTTAGGCCTGAGAGACAGATGGCAGGGAAAATCCCCTCATACTACAGCATACAGGCCAGCCTCGTTCAAGAGCCAAAGATTTTCCTAAGCTACCGAGGACATCTGCAGACCTCCAGCTATCCCCAGCATACACACAGACCTGTGCAGGGCAGGATTTTCTTCTTCACCAAGACGACAAGATGTTGATGTTCAGTACCCGAGAAAATCTATGTCACCTTTCCATGACTGACACTTACATTGCGGATGGTACATTTAGCGTATGTCCAGAGATCTACGACTAGCTGTACGCAAACCATCCGCAAGTTCATGGAAAGATGATGCCACTTGTGTATACCTCCTGCCAGACAAGAAACAGTCAACATACTTTATTTGAGGTATATCGTAGTAATGTTAATCTAATGTAAATCCTTTGCAGTTTAAATAATTACTTTCATGGCGATTTAAATGGTGTTCGAATGTTTACGTTTTCCACGTAATTTTTCATTAATATTGCTTTTTTTTTTTCAAACAATGTTTTTCAGGAGAAATATTGTCTATTCTTTCAGTGTTTGAAGCAGAAAGCCTCCTACCACAACCTGAATTTATCCCGACAACACTGTTCACCGACTTCGAGTCAGCAGCTCAGATTGCATTGCAAGAATACTTCTAAGAATACTAGGGGCGGTGGGGTAGCCTAGTGGTTAAAGCGTTGGCTCGTCACGCCGAAGACCCGGGTTCGAATCCCCACATGGGTACAATGTGTGAAGCCCATTTCTGGTGTTCCCCCGCCGTGATGTTGCTGGAATATTGCTAAAAGCGGCGTAAAACCAAACTCAGTCAGTTAGTCTAAGAATACTCATTCTTACTTGAAAACGATACAAGAACCTGTAGCGAAACGTCGTGCTCTAGAATAAAAGAAGTTGTCATCCATATACTTACTTGTTCTATCTTTTGGAATATGTTGATGTTGTGTGTAATTTTGTAGGGCTATGAATTTTTTAATTTCTGAATTGTTCATGTCTTTTTTAGAACAGACTGTAACTAATCCCTCTATTGTCTGCCTTTTTTGCAATGGGTGACTGCACTAGTAACCTAAACAAAAGCAGCGGGCACAGTGAGGTGTCCCAGTTGACATACCAATTCTCAGAAAGAATGCCCAATTACCTATTTCTTCTGTCGCATTGATTTGTACTTGTTTAGAAGACGAATAAAAGTCAAATACGCATCCAGTACTACCAAGTAAACATGGTATAATTCATAGAAATCAACTGGAAATCACTATTTTGTTTGTAACAATCAAAATATGTGTCACAACTTTTTCATTCTTGGTGTCGCCAAAGCTGTAGTGTTTAATCAAATGGATACAATTAGTATGTTTACCGCCATAGCAGTTTAAAATCACTTCCCATAGGTTGTACGTACATGAATGTAAAACCTATGAAAAAATGAAGGGATTATCATAATAAACAAAACAAATGTGACACTAAGAAATACGTCGCCACAATAGCGGTAATCCTCTTACAGAACGTAACATGCAGTGTAAAATGCATATATATTGACAAACATTTGTTTTGAAAGCTCGCAAGTTTATACTGGATATATTATATGTAGGAAAAGTGTCATTTTAGAACACGTACCATATAAAACCGTACACAAAGACGAACCCGGTCTATAAAAATAGTTGTGTTAAGCATGAAAGCTACGTTACCATTGCTGTACAGAAACATGAATAACAGCTACCTATAAAAGCTATTAGAATGAATGCTTTGTGTTTTCATAGTGTAATAAAACCGAAAAGGGAGTGCAATATGCTTCCAGTCAAGATCATGGTAGTTTGCAAACGGTGAAAGTAATCTACGTTATGAAATCTACGTTACCACCTGATATGGAATCTTACAAAATATTACTGGAAATAGAAGATTTCGCTTCGTAGCATAGTCAGAGAACCCAGGCAAATAATTTGATAACCTACAACAGTTGCCACCGGTTGCTGTCACATGATCGCAGCACTTGAGTGACATTTCACGAAATTCAAATTTGGAAGGGAAACCTTATCTTTATTCGGGAAATTCCCTGTGAAACAGGTAAGATTGCCTGTTAATTAACTTCCTTATAGGGATATAGTTTCAAAATATTTCTATACTGAGTCAAAAAAGAAACTTCACATTCTTTCTTCAGGGAACTATAAAAAAACAAGAGATGGTAAGATGGTGAAATTGTTATTATTTCATTGCTGAGATCTGTGTGATGTACTCGATACACTGACAGTGCCATAATCAGTTCCATTAGGCTACACCGCCGTTCCAAAACATGGGTATACAGAATGTCAAGTCACAAGAATAAAAATTCGAAATTTCTCAGTTCAATATCATGTATGGCCGCCCCGCGCATTCACCACTGCCAAACACCGTCTCCTCATCGACTGCCTGATGCTTGTGAACAGGTGGTTGGGGATTCTGCGCCATTGCTCTTGCAAGGCAGCGCCAAGTTCCTGCAAATTCTGAGGTTGGTTCCTAAGACCACGAAGCCTTCTCCCAAGTGCATCCCAAACGTGCTCTATTGGATTTAGGTCAGGGGACCTCGATGGCCAGTCCATGACGTTGATTCCAGCGTTTTGAAGGAAATTTCGTGTCAACATCGCGGTATGCGGCCGAGCATTATCATGCTGGAACTGTAGACCTGGGCCATGAGCCGCCATGAAAGGAACGAGTTCAGGGGTGAGCACCTGGTCGCGGTAAGCAACAGCTGTGAGGTTTCCACGGATGACCAGAAGTCGGGAACGGTTGTTCCCACAGAAAGCACCCCACACCATGCAACTTCCGCCCCCGAATCTGTCGACTTCCTGTACACAACATTGGGCATACCGTTCACGACGTCGTCTCCAGACTCTATGCCTGCCGTCCGCGAATCTGAGGGTAAACCTGGATTCATCGCTAAAGACGACTCGATTCCAGTCTCTCTGGGTCCATCGGAGGTGACGTTGGGCCCACAGCAGACGTTGACGTTGATGAAACGGCGTCAATATTGGCCCACGATATGGAAGTCGAGAATGGAGATTGGCAGCCCGCAACCGATTTCGAATGGTCTGTGAGGACAGTCGACCTCTAAACATCTCAGCCCTGGTTCGGGTAGCCGGCAGAAATCTGTCACGTAGGTGACGTAGGACGATTTGACGGTCTTCTGCTCGTGACGTCACACGTGGACGACCCGACCTTGGGCGATCAGAAGTGGTGCCAGTTTGTTGTAGACGACCTCGCAAGTCATACACAGTACGACGGCTGCATCCCATTGCTCTTGCGACGTCAATAACTGATCTTCCCACTTGCAACATGCCAACGGCACGTTCACGTTGCACATTTGACAATCGTGGCATTTCAAGTACCGTTAGAACTGTGGTTTAAAAGTGTTTTTTCAATTCTTGAGGCCAATGCAAACACGTGCATATGAAGAAAACTTCGATGCGAAGATAACGTGATCGATTGCACGTGCAAAGCCTGATTTGGCACTAACGTCATTTGCACGATGAATGGATGGGTTTGAGTGGATTTTGCTAACGTTTTTCTAGAGTCGAAAGATAGGGATCCCATTTCGGATACATAGATGTATCATCAGAGAAAGATTATTTATTATTTTTCAAATTACATTTTGTGAAGTTTCTTTTTTGACTCAGTATATTTCAAAACAATTGTTCTTCTGTTGAGAAGTTTGGAAATGATCACTATTTGGGTGTTGTTAGCCATCATTTCAAAAGATTGACAAAAGATGTATTTCGTGAAGCTTGTATCAATTCAATATCACAGAGTTTTTAGACATATTGATATTGACCCTAAACGTACGATATTTCGATCTCTTAAAAAGACTGCAACATATCTTTCACCTCAGTTTTGTACTCTTGTCTCAAAGTATGGTAACGAAGATTGCAATGAATGAAGTAATACCTTCATAACTATCACATGTTCCGGTAGCTGTTATGAATATTTTATTTATTGCTAACCAAGTAGCAATAATGACTTTCATATATGTTAAGTTGTTGTAAAATCAGTCTATATGAGGACGATTATTACGTCTAATGAATTAGTTTGTAAGGTAACGTAGATTACAAAATATCATTGTTGAATTCTGACAGAATGGGCAAGACTCATGCCGAGATCCAGCAGGATTACGGACAAGGGAATAGGGGGAAAGAAGGAATGAATGTTATTCATGTGAACGGGTGGTTTTTGTGCAAATCTGTCATCTACGTTACAAAGGCATTCATTCCAACCTAATCAATAACATAACCTTTTATAAATGCTGTTGTATTGTCAGTGAAGTTCATGATATTTCCTCTCAGATGTCGAATCTTTTTGTCGACTTCTTTTGCGTAAAGAACTGCATTTAACAGTATAACAAAGTTATATTTGCAAGAGCTTTGACTTGATCAACTTTGTTATACTGACTCAACTGACTGGAGAGGATGTTACATGTAATGTTGTTTCCTTAACGAAACACAACTTTGGGATTAACAACTGAACTTTGTGAATGATATCTCCCTTCAATGTGTTATGCAGCAATCATAAAGAACAGTCACGTAGATTACAACGATCATGTAGGGTGGTGTTGTATGAGATGTGATGGAATATTTACAAGCTCCCCTTGAGTGATACAATTTCTGATTTTCGTTCGTGACGTTTTCTACAACAAAACAACAGGTGACAGAAATATTGTCTTTAGCTTTTTGCGATTTTTGGTCTTTCAAATTGGGCATTCTCTGTGAGAATTGGTGCACAGTGTTTGGAAATTTTCCCAAGAATGTACTTCTATCTTTTTTAGAAAAGTTTAGCTGATGCTTAAAAGACAGGATATATGGTCTTGGCAATATTTTCTGATTTTGAATAATCTTTTCATCACTGGGTGTATATTTAGTAAATTCTCGCAGAGCACAGATAAAAAAAATCTACATATGTTTACAGCTGAATTGGGATCCAGCGAATGTGATGGCAGGCATATTCATCAGAATTAATTTTTGTGAATTAAAATGTTAAAAACTGGATTTTATTTAGGCTCTTCGTCACCTGTGAGGAATTGGACATTTATTAATTCCTATTGACTACTTACTATCATTTACTGCAGACATATCCACCTGTGAGCAGGTCTAGGTGAATGCCTAACTGTTATATCACATCATGCACTTTCTAATACCAGTGTTCCTTTGATCGGTGGACTATCGTACGTTTTGTTGTGCACATGCAGCTGCAAGACGTCAGTCCCAACTATAAAAAAAAGGTTTGGCATGAAATGCATGTGGACCCGGTTTTTGTAAATATCTCTTCATCCAATGATCCAATCGATCTCAAACTGTGCAAGTGGATGTTTTGTCAGACAACCTAATCACATTGTATATCACCGATTTTATGCATTTGTAGTAAAGAATCTGTCTATGTAACTGTCAACAAAATAAACAGCAGAACGCAGACTGCTTGCACAGGGAGGGAGCCAATGACCTGTAACAGCGGCAGTGTTGGGTCATGAAGGTCAACGTTCGTCAATGTAGGTCAGCTATGCACGTGACAGGTATGAAGCGGTGTCACAGGTCGTGAATAGGGTAAGGTGGGTGCCAACTGTTAACCATCATACGGAGTTTGTTTCTCTGAGTTGTTCACAAAACCCATTAGTGAGAATTATTCTGTAGGTTAAAATCTTTAAATTTGTAATGTTAATGTCATATTTTGTTTATGCAGTACCTAAGTGGAAATGCAT